GTTTACTTAACATATACAAACAAAATCTTTTTTTCAAAAATGTAATTTTTTTCTTTTTCGGTCCCAATTTTTTATTTGGCTGCTTTTGATAAATAAAAAATTAACTAAATAGTTATTATATATGTTCACATATATAATAACTAAATAGTTCACATATTATGGTCTATTAAAACTTATCCATTTAAAATTTATAAATTTGATGGTCAGAGACCGTTCTAACACTGGATATAAGACTAACAAAGTTCTTATTGGAATCAATTTATTCATTTGCCAAACCAAATCCCACATTTTCTAAAGATGATTCAATGGAAGAACAATTAATACCATATTTATAAATATGGTATTAATTATTCTTCTCCATTCCACGACAAATCTTTCTTTGATTTTCAAAATAATTTGCTCTCATCAACCTTCAACAGCAGACCCCCAATCCCCCAGACTCTATACTGGTAGCTTTGGTAATCCATCATCATTATCATCACCATCACCATCATCCGTATATTCTATTCTCTATTATCTTTTGACAATTAATAATCATATCCACAACTGTAATCCTAAAACCAATTAATTTCCCCAAAAATAAGAAATTTTAAAACAATTAAAACATAAAAAAAAAAAAATTAAAGTGTTTCGCATAAAAAGTAATAATTTATTGAATGCTTTATAATTGATTATTTTACAATATTATTTATTATTATTATTTATTATATTGTTACTGTTAATTTATTCTTGTAAGAGGATGATATCGACATTGTCATGAACACGTTGTAAGAGGAGCTCACCTTCAAAAGTAATAATCTTCTTTCTTTTAGCTGATTTTAAGGTACCCATTAAAGCTTCGAAAACATTACCAACGGTATCATCATTAAATAAAACACCATATTTAACTACATATTGATTATTGGCATTTTTGGTGCCAAGTCTTTTGATATGTTCTTTTAATAATTGAACTTCGTGGTCAACTTGAGTTTGATCGGCCATTTTTAATATCTAAAAACCAATTAAATTATAAAATATTAATATCTTTATATAATTAATTAAATAAATAAATAAATATAACATACATTTATGGGGTGTAAAAAATTTATAAATGAAAGAGAAAAAAAAAAAAAAAATTTTAAAATTTTTACAAAAAATAATTTTTTTTTTTTTTTTTTTTTTTAAATTAATATAAATATATTTTTTGATATTTATAATATTTGGTTTAAACCAAAAAAAAAAATAATTTATGTTTTGTGATTAATAAAAAAAAAAAATAATAAAAATGTTAAATTAAAATTTTTTATTTGTGATTAAATGGAAAAACTGAATAGATTTATTAAACTACCCATTGTTATTGTTGTATAAATAAGAAGAATTTAAACTCTTTTAAAGGTTTTTTTTTTGTTTTTTTTTTATCTAATATTACTTATTGATTCTCCATGATGGGCTCTACGCATAGTTTCGGCCAATACAGAGGCTACCGAGATGATTTTTAATTTTGGACATTTTGCTTTATTGTGGTCGTTTGGAATTGAATCGGTGATAACTAATTCTGTAATAGGAGATTCGTTGATGATGTCAATTGCATTATTTGAGAATACACCATGGGTTACTAAAGCATAAACTTTGGTAGCACCCTTTTTGATTAATGCATTCGCGGCCAATCTTAATGTTGTACAGGTATCAGCTATGTCATCAATTATAATTGCAACTTTGTTTGTAACATCACCAACTAATACGGTTTCAATATCAAATGAAAATGATGCTGATAATGATAATGACATTTCTTTATTTGGTCTATGAATGATTGCTAATTCTGATGATAGTTTGTCTGAAATTGCTTTAGCCCTTCTTACACCACCAACACCTGGTGAAATAATTACAAAATCATCCTTAATCTTTTTCTTTATATATTTTACAAATAATGGTTCTGAATAAACATTTTCAACTGGTATATTGAAAAATCCTTGAATTTGGCTTGAACTATAATTTAATTATTTTTTATTATTGTTTATTTTTAAATAAAAAATATTAATAATTTTTTTATAAGTTTTAAATCCTAAATAATTTTTAATATATACTGTAAATCTATTGTAATAACCCTATCAATACCAGCAGCCTCCATCATGTTTGCAACCAATTTACATGTAATTGGAGCTCTTGATTTATCTTTTTTTGATTGTCTTGCATATCCAAAGAATGGTACAACTGCTGTGACCCTATGTGACGATGCTCTTTTAGCACCATCAACCATAACCAATAACTCCATTAAATAATCGTTAACGCTTGGGTTACATGTTGGCTAAATAATATGTAGAATATTAATACATATTTATCTATATAACTATAAAATAATATGCCTTTACTTACTTGAACAATATATAAATCAACATCTCTAACAGATTCATTTATAATTACCTGGGTTTCACTATTTGCAAATTTTGAAACCAATGCATCTCCACAAGTTGTATTTAAACAATGCGCTATTTCTTTGGCCAATTCTGGATGAGAATTACCATGTAATATAACTAATTTATGACTGTTTGACATTTTATAATATATACATAAACATTAATAATTTTGATTAAACATGAAAATTTTATAACAAACTATAGTTTTTAAATGATATTATATATAATTTTTTTAAAAAAAAAAAAAAAGTTAAGTTTAAATATAGAACGAAGAAGGATTTGATGAATTTATAATAATTTTTAAAAAAAAAATGAAAAATTAAAAAATTAAAATAAAAAATAAAAATAAATAATTAATTTAAAAAAAAAAAATTAAATTATTTTTTAAATAAAAATAAAAATAATAATAAATTTACAATTTACTATTATGATAAAAAAAAATTAGGATTGAATTTATATCCTATATAGATATAAATATTTTTTTATGAAATTGGTATGTTTGTTTCTATATATGGTATAATGTGACATGTATACTATTATGTTTACACATGAATTTTTATTTATTTATTTATTTATTTTATTTTTATTTATATTATACATCAATATCCTTGGCCAAAACTTTCTATAATTAATTATTATTGTGCTGTTATTAATACCAGGCATTGATGCCAATATTTTTGATAACGCCTTTTTGAAAATAATTTTGATTTTGATTTTGAAAATGGATTTGAAATTGATTTTTGATTTTTTTAATTTGATTTATTTTTATATGGCGAGGCGGTAAAGCTTGGATTAGGTTCTATTTCATAATTTGCTAGCACCTTTCTGAAAGCAGCTTGAATTTCTTCAAACTTATCTTTATTTTTGCAAAAAATTCTAATTCTTTCCTCTTGGAATTTTGATGGAATAAGTTGAGAGGCTTCATCTTTTTTAATATTGAATTTTTTTGTGTTATCGTAACGAGTGTAGAAATGGGTTGACTGTACTGGATCTTTATCCTTTAATGCATAGTTTAATTTTAAATTTTGAACAATAAGGTCACTCTCCAAGATATCTTTACCTTGGTTAGAAATCTCTTTGGCCAATGATTTATCTGAATCCCATTTAATTTGTTGGCTGTGTACAATAATTTCATCAACAAATTTGTAAAGATTTCTATTTCTAATATTCTTAATAATAGCTCTACTCTTTTGTAATTCTGGTTCTTTCGAAGTTTCAATACGCTTTAATAATGAATCACTAAGATTAATAAATTCTTTTGGATCATCCAATTGGTCTGAAATCTTTAAAAATGAATCTGCTTCGCTAAATGCATCTGAAATCATAAATTCGATCTATAATGAAATAATAATTTTTGTAAGTATTAAAAATAATAAAATAATAATAATAATAATAAAAATAAATTTAATACATACTGATTTACCAACTTTGTGAGTATAAACCAATTTATGTAAACTATATCTTGTATGAAATAATTCATATAGATTATAAATCTCTTTACTTAAAAAGCAAATTTCGTCATCAATAACTCTACTAAACTCCATGAGTCTAGTGAAATCACACACAACTGATCTACCTAAAAAGTATGAATCTCTTGATATATAATCAAATTTATCAACATCGACACTATTTCTGTCATTTGCTACGATATCATAAATGAACGCTCTTTCCCTAAAAAATTTTATAATAAATTAATAAATGATAAAAAGAATATAATAATATAATTTAATATACCTACTTTGGTCTATCTTTTCCTCTAATTAATCTTGAAATATATTTAATATCATCAGTGCTATAATCTAAACCTTGATCCTCGATAATCCAATCTAACATTTTAATTGACATTTCTTCATGGTGAAAATGCTTACCAGTAGATTCGGCCCAGGATTCAAAAGCATGGCTAAATGGGCCATGACCTAAATCGTGGCATAAACCTGCAATTCTAACAAATTTTTGCTCATCCTCTGTAATTTCTAATTCTGGTTGGGTTGCTTTAATTTTGTCTATATATTTACCTGCCAAATGACTGACACCTAAACTATGTTCAAATCTTGTATGGTTAGCACATGGAAATACAAAATTTGTTGTACCAACTTGTTTTAAATCTCTTAATCTTTGAAATTGCTCTGTATCTACAAACTCCATAATATAATTTGGAACTATTTTAAAAAAATACAATATTAATATAATAGAACTTTAAAAAGAAAATAAAAATAACTACAAACCCTTCATATGACCATGAATA